TGCAGCGATTGAATCTAATTTGAAGGATGCACTCAGTGGTAGACTGCTTCCACCTGAGCCTGCTTCTAGACAGCTCATACCGAAAGCTCAGTGGTTTGAAGGGTGATCTGAGGTAACAAATTAGTTTTAAAAATCAAGTAATAAGTGATGTTATTACTTTTTAAAGGAGTAGTAAGTAAAAACTATCTCACTCACATCTAACCAGCTGAAACAATTACAATCACAATGCTCACACTGAGCATGGCTGTGCAGGGCCTCTCAGAGGGCAAGACGAGCCAAAACACCGACCTTCAAAGTAAAAGACTGCATCACAGTTGCGGGCCAGCAGCTTTCCCCTCCCTTCTTTCAGCTCATAATTTAAGCTTAGCAGCAAGTGTTAATAATGTGACAATCTTCCCACCCTGACGGATTAAAATGCAGATGTCACGCAGGACGAATTCCTATCAAGACCAATACTTTTATTGTGAAGCCCTTTTAAGTTTTATTTCTAAAAGAACAAATCTTTTACTTACATGTCCGACTCTCAGTGAGAATTATGTGTCACCTAACGACTGACAGTTTTGTGCTAATGTCTGTCTAAATCTGCATATAAATGAATGATCTGTTCACAGAGCGATTAGGTGATGTGCCCAGACGAGGCGACACAAAGAGCAGCTGAGACACAGCGTGATGAGAGCCACATCACGAGAGCTCGCTGCTGCAATAAAAACCATTCTGGGAAATTGCAAAAGCACAGATTTGCCTCATTTTACATACAAAGAGCTTTTCAGTAAAAAAAAAAAAAAGGAAAAGAAAACAGAAATCCTGCGAGTGAGCGCCACTTAGATTCAGAAGCAATAAACAAAAACATGAAGAATCTGAAGTTTATTCTGCGTCTCCCTGCTGCTGGAGGAAACTCAAGCAGAACAGCGATGAATATGTTCCAGTGTCAAAAAAATGTTGACAAGGCAGCAAGCCATTAGTCGGCATCACACACAGTCAGCGACAGCAGTCATCAGCCTGAAATGATTCTTCATCAGGCGCCTGAGAGTTCACTGCCGTCGGATATTGTCAACGGAACAAGCAGCAGACACACACAAATCCACCAACCTTTACACACAAAAGAGTTTGCTGTTGGAAGTATTCAATTCACACACACACACACACACACACTCTCACAGGTGTGTTGGCGGGCTGTGAGCGATGAGTAATTTCCAGGGCCAACAGGATTATCAGTGTATGCTCTGGAAGATGGCAGCGAATCAGCCTTCAAGTTAACTAAACAGTTCGCGTAATTGGTCTTCATCTGTCATCTCAAACAGAGCAGAGGACTGTTCGAGTCCGAGAGAGAAAGAAAGAGAGATTACTGACGGGAAAGTGATGAAAATTGGTCGCAAGATAATGAGTCTCGTTGTCTTTTCATCCGCTCATCTCTCTCTCCCTCCCTCTCTCTCATTATTCAGAGTGACTGGTCGGAGAGCAGCTTCACAGTCTGCTGCTTATTAAAAAAACCCAGAGCGCCTTTAGATGAGTTCATCAGCCTCTCCATCTCTCTTTTCCCTCCATCCTCCTGCCAGCTCTGCATCCTCTCATCCCCACCTTTTTTTTTTCTCTCTCTCTCTCTCTCCTCCCCCTCTCCCAGTTTGAACTCCTACATCCTTCCTCCCTCTGTCTCTTTATCCCTCGCTCTCCCATCTGTTTATTTTTTCCACCATCCTGTAGAGTAAAACAGCGAGAACGAGAGATGAGGAATGAGGAAGAAGAAACCGAGGCCCAGACGGGGAGAGAATCAAAGAGCTCAGGAGAGGGGAGAAAAAAAAATCCTCTTTGTGACAGATGAAGCTTTTATAGAAAAAAAAAAAAGGGGCCTTCTCCTAATTTCCTGTTGATAGTCTTTGTAGTGTGTTTCTTCCTCCTCAGGCCCATCTCTCCTCCTCCTCCTCCTCCTCCTCCTCCCTGAGCGCCGGCACCACTGTGGCAGATTGTTTGGAATCAATAAAGATGGTTGTTGGCAGATGAAAGTCGCGGGGCGGGACGGTGGCTTCGCTAAACTGCTCGTTGCGCTTCACACAAATCACCGGCTGCGTCCAGCTGACACGTGATGGCTGCATCCTGCAACAATTAAAAACTCATACAGATGCGCTGTAGGGAGGAACATAAACACACATATGGTGCGATGTGACAGGCAGACAGGGTGGATGGGATTTGGACAGCACATAGACAGAAAGGAAATAAAAGAGGAGAAAAAAGGAGGGATGATTGTTGTTAAAACTGAACAGGTGCTGCAGTCGTCAAAAAAATAGAAATAAAAAATGAAGCTATGAAAGTGAAAAACTGTAAAATGATATTGCTGGCAGACAGTGGTGGAAGGCTTTACTACTAATAATACAAGTTAATCACACGTCCTGCATTCAGAATTTTACTGAAGTAATTGTTGAGAGGAATTTTTTGCAAAATGTACCAAAACCCAACCATTGATTTTATCTCCGTTTTTAAAACTGAGCCAAATTCTTATTTTTTAGGTTTTTGGAGGACTTTGAGAAATGTCATTTAACTTTAATTGTAACAAATTCTATAGATTAAGATAAGACAAGGTCTTTTCTGATCCTGACAGAAATTCTTGTGCCAGATATTGCTCAGAAAAAAACCCCAAAATGACATGATGTAAGAATAAATGCAGCACCTGGTAGAAAAACAATAAGATGAAAGTATGATGATGTGATGATGATGATGTTAATAAAATTAGTAAGCTAAAATAAGACTAGAATAGAAAAGCTGTAGTTTTAGTAGAAGTGTGTGTTACAAGTTTGTTTGGATTGTATTAGACGTCTCAGGTAATAAAGTGGTCGGTGAGTAAAGAGAGAGTTAAGCCTTAACCTTGATCCCATATATTTGTACTGACCCTGTAAGTTGCCACATGTGATGAATTTACTCAGGACTTAGTGATGGAGCCTTTTATGTGAGTAAATCAGTCCAGTGCTGCAGTCTCCCTGAAAATGATATATATACAAAATATAGTTGTCAAAAGGTTGAAATTATATTCAAAAGAAAGACTTGAGGGGGTTCAGTGGAGGAAAGCCATGTTATTTGAATTCATACTGTGGTTTATCTAACAATACGAATATTTTCTGCCAGAAATGCTGCAGTGACACAGTTCAGAGTGATGTTGGGCTATGAAGGGTCAATTTAAATAGATGTTGCAGTTCTACAACTTTGGACCGAGGAGAGTTAAAGCAGCTATAGTTGATACAGTTTGTCCTTACAGCAAGAAAACAACAGGACAGTGAGAGAGAGGTTATTTATAATGAACCCACAGAGAATCATCACATGAATATGCAGCTGCCTTCAGCTTTACAGAACTTTACAGAGAGTTTCAGCTTGATCCATAAATTGACCGCTTCGTGTTGGGGTTTAGCATCCATCTGTTTTCAGAGAAGCAGCATTACAACCGACTGTTCGCTACCTGCTCGGCATCAACCACTTAGACACAGTTAGAAGAGTAGCAGGCGAACACAGTGGAGCCTGTAGCAGCTTAAAAGCCAGATATTACAAACATGACTCCAAATGAATACTAATGTTCTTCTGTAACAGCACGATGTGTAAATAGGCAACTGTATGATAACAAGTTCACTGTATGAACCTAAAAGGTGATAAGAAGTCAATGCTGTGCGCACAAGTTATCATGCAATCAGCCAATGCAGATTTTAGGAATCAAACAGAAACAGTTTATAATCCAGAATGAGCCCTTTAAGAGTCATATCTGAATAAACATATATATATTTAATTAGTTAATTATGATGAAAAGGGCTCAATGATAATTTAATGTTAGCTTTCTATCTTTCTGTGGAATCATGGTGACAATAAAAATACATTTTATTAAGTTAAAAAGCATATTTTTAGTACAAACTACCAAAATAAACCACTGATGTGTTTGATTTACAGTGAAAATGACTTTTTGTAAATATATTTCTGCATTAGAGCTGCTACTAACATTTATTTTCATTGTCAATTAATTTGTTAATTATTTTCTTGATTAACTGATGAGCTGTTTGGTCTAAAAAAAAAAAAAAATGTAAGAAAATGGTGAAAAATGTTAATCCGTGTTTCTCCAAAGCTAAGATGACGTCCTCAAAGTTCCACCACAGAAATAAATTCAGTTGACTATAGAGGAGCAAAGAAAACCGAAAATATTCAATTTTAAGAATGTGGTAGTGTGAATTCATATAATTATTATGAATAGCAATAAAGTACTTATGTATTAATATTTACTTTAATATCATTCTACAGTTTGAACATGAACAATACTTTGTGTAATAATTATTATGTATTTCTATCTTTAGATCATTATTACATTTATCTTCCGCTTTTCTCGTGTCATGGAAACGCTTACTTATTTTGTTTGTTTTATTCTATTGTTTTGGTGTGCATTATTCTCTACATCCATTTCAACCGTGCGTTGTTTTGTCACTTGGAAAGCACATTGAACTACATTTCATTGGTCTCAAAGGTGCTACATAAATAAAGTAATACTTTGCTTAAACAGATGAATCCATTATCAAAACAATTGCTTTAACAGACACCACTGATTGATTAACCATTAATCATTGTAGCTCTGTTTTGCATACATCTGCTGCACTATGCATTATTTATTACACACATTATAAATATAGTATATATCTAACATAACCAGACACAAGCAGTCCTACTTCTTCCAAGCCTTTATGTGCTGCTGTTTATTAACAAATTATCATACTTTAGAAGCACATATGTGTTGTGAGTAAAATCTGACTCTTCATAATAACTACATATTATAATATATTGCTCTGAGCGGGAGGGAAGATAAAGTATAAAGTAATATATAACAGAAATACTCTGAACCTACTTGGACTAAATCTACTAATTTACTTTCCTCCTCTTTCTGTCTTCACAGCAGATGTAAGAGAATGGAGAAGGAAATATTCATGTGAAGTGTTGATATGATTGACTCATCCAGAGAAATAATCACTTCACACACTCAAGAAGCCCGTGAGATTTGTTTTAATAAGCTTTTGTGGCGTGTCGCTCACACACACATACACACATGAATCCAAGCATTCAAATGCCGAAGCACACAAGACACATAATTCATGGGGGGGTTGTAAGTCTGATGCAAAGTCACCAGTGATCACAGGGAGAGCGCAGCTCAAGAGACACACAGTCGATTTTTCATGAGAATTGTCAAAATCATTTCTCACCTTCGTCACAACACTTCTCTTAACCTCAGTCATTAGCGGGGGAAAAACAGAAAAACTACTCAACATCTGCAGGAGAGCCGGTGTGCACTTCAAAAAAGCAATCAGCCATTTACAACTTATCTTCCTGCTGAAGAAGGTCTTGATCTGTGTCGACAGCGAGGAGGAAGAGGAGGAGGAGGGATCTGGATGTTGAGTGTAGCGGTGTGTAGCCACAGCAACCAAATCTGACAAGTCCACCCTCTTAGAGTTTACTCTTGACAGTGGCCTTCGTGGGAGCTGACAGAGGAAAAACATTGAAACTTGTAAAACACTGAGAGAGAGCATTTCACCTTGGTCATGCAGCGGTTAATAGCATTTTGGCTTTTGGAGCATGTGGTTGCTTCAGAGGGATCTGTTAGCGAGGATTAGTTGCTCTCAGTCCAACATGGCTGAGGACTCACTCAAAACATGCAAACACACGCACATACACATCAAACGGACAGCCAGCACAGGTAGTGCCAGGTGTTGGAGACACATAAGGTTTATAGTAGAGACTTGGAGGCCTGCCTGCAGCAGCTCTGTCACACAGACAGACAGTTCCGGTCCATCTACCAGCCAAGCACCACTACTGCTCGCTCACTGCTGCTACAAAATCTGCTGCACATCCATTAGAGGACAAAGACGGCAACCACTCGCAGAGACTTTTTAAAGGGACACACCTGCGTTGTTTTTGGAAAAAAAAAAACAAAAACACACACACACAAAAAAAAATCCTCTTCAGTCAACCAACTCGGTGTGAAGACGCAAAAGTGCTGATTTCATGCTTCATGTGTCGAGGTGACGCTGTGTCACAGTTTGAAACTTGAGTGCGTTGAGTGGAAGCTACGAGTTTGCCTCATCACAGCAGTAGGAAAACAAACCCTCTAACTCTGAAGCTGCATGAACTCATGGTTCATTATTCACTGCATAAAATAACTTTACAATCCGACCGTGAAATCAAAGCTAATATAAAAACAATTTTAACTGACTCTTTGGCCAGCTGTGGGCAGAGGCACAAGCCGTAAACACAACACTGATACACGTCTGTGTACATTCTCAGTTATCCAGGTCACTGTAATCCTCGGAGCTTCATTATAAAAGCAACCGGACTCCTCGGACAACACTGATATATTGTGACCTCGCTAAGTCGTTACAGCAAACATGTAGGCAAAAAGCACAACATTTGGCAAAAGAAAGCCCCACATTCACTCTCATTTTAGCTCTGTTTTCATTCTCTACCAACTCCCGAGGGAAATATCTGGTACTTTAGCTGCCAAATGCTCACCAGCTATTCGTTAACTGTGTCTGTCTTCCATTTAGTGCCAAGCAGGCAGCAGACAGTGGCTTCACTGCTGCTTTTTTCCCTGTGAATGTCTCTAAATTCTGCCACCAAGAAGCACAGGTTCTGTGGTTGGAATTGATTACAGACACTATTTCCAGCCACGTTCTGTAGATAACCTCAATTTTTACTTTAGATACTACACTGCCTTTTATTTGATATATTTATTTGATATTAGACTTTTTGATTTTCCGCTTATCGCCCTGTGTTGTACAGTACCTGAGATTTACTTCAAACTGTTAAAAAAACAGGGCTGTGGTTATTCTATAATTTTCTCTCTGTCAATACCTGACTACTGTAGTCAGATGGAACAAGACTCACACCTTCCAAGAAGTTCAACTTTCATCTCATCAGTCCACAGAATATTCTCCCAAAAGTCTTGGGGATCATTCAGATGTTTGTTTGCAAAAGTAAGATGAGCCTTTATGTTCTTTTTGGTCATCAGTGGTTTCTGCCTTGGAACTCAGCCATGGATGCCATGTTGGCCCTGTCTCCTCCTTATTGTTGAGTCATGAACACTGACCTGAACTGAGGCAAAGGAGGCCTGCAGTTCTTTACATGTTGTCCTGGGTTCCTTTATGACCTCCTGGATGAGTCGTCGCTGTGCTCTTGGGGTCATTTTGGTCAGCCAGCCACCCATGAGAAGGTTCACCACTGTTCCATGTTTTCTCCATTTGTGGATAATGGTTCTCACCGTGGTTCACTGGAGTCCTAAAGCTTTAGAAATGGTTTTAAGCTCTTTCCAGACTGATAGACGTCAATGACTTTATTTCTCATCTGTTCTTGAATTTCTTTGGATCGCAGCATTTTGTTGCAGCTTTTTGAGATTTTTTTGGTTGACTTCATTTTGTCAGACAGGTTCTATTTGAGTGATTTCTTGATTGAACAGATCTGGAGGTGATCAGGCTTGGGTGTGGTCACTGAAATTGAATTCAATTCAGCTATACAAAAAAATGTGATTAGCCACAGCTGATTCAAGATTTGACAAGGGGGGGCAATTACGTTTTCACATAGGGCTAGGTAGGTTGTGGATAGCTTGTTTTCCCTTAAAACGGTAAATCCTCATTTACAAACTGCATTTTGTGTTTATTTGGGTTATTTTTGTCTAATATTTAAATTTGTTTGATGGTCTTAAAGATTTAAGTCGGGGAAATATTTAAAAAAGGGGGCAAATACTTTTTCACAGCTCTGTAGAAGACATGCATTTTAAAAACAAGTGACAGATACATAAATGTATTTCCTAAACTACTGTAGTTTTTAATCAAACTTTACCCAAACATGAATAAACAGTGTTTTTTAATCAGGAACTATATATTTTCAGCAGCGGATTTATACATAGTCAATGCTCCAGTGAGTATTAGTCAGCATTAAGGTGTTTGTGGGACTGGCTTAAAATACACTCACACCTGCACATGATGCTGTGTGTTAGTGTGTGACTTCTACTTAGTCACTGTTACACTGTAAGCCACACAACACTTTTTGTATCAAGTACAAGTGCATCACAATTTAAGATCTCATTATTTTTTAGCAATTGATCTTCCCTGAGACCAAAATGAAAAAGAAAGACAAATCCTTCCTGGTTTTCTGCCATTACTGGTTCAATCTGTCCACAAAAAGATTGAAAAATAAGACTCTTATCCCAGTGTCTGAGTTTACGAGCGAGATATGGTGGCAAGGTTGATTATATTCTGATCTTATGTTAAACAGGCTGCTTCTCTTTCATTTTGACTGACTCTTCTGTAACTCCTTCTCTGTCAGGTCACATGTACTGCAAGTAAAATGCAAATCCTCATTTTATGAAGGTTTTTTTGATTGTCTTATGTGTTCAAGTTTGTATATGATCTAAACTTCAGCTGCTGCCAACGCATCTTACAACATATTGTGAATTGTAAGAAAATGAAGATAAATGTAATATGCTATATGCTGTATACACCATATGAACAATATACAGCGTAATGTATTCAAACCCCAGAAACATTTCAGGAAATTTCTCACTTCATTTAAAATTGAACACAGTATTCCTGCATTGGTTCACTGCTTTGGATCTATTGTTGTGGTGTGTGACGTTTACCTGCTTGTAGCAGTTAATTGTTGGTGTTAACTTTTTCTCATTTATGTTAATTTTGTGGAGGAATTTCTGCCACTATTGCTCTGGATTATGGACAAAATGGTCACTCTGACTCCATCAGCAGCCTTAAGCCTCACGTTACTTTGTCATAGTCACAGTGTTTCCAAAGGTCATGGAGAAGCCACGTACACATAGACATTTGTTCCTCATCTGCTGCAGCTATTGAGACATGTGGAGCCTCTGAGCTTCTGTGTTATGTTTGAAGAGTAACCTTGGTCCGGCCTGTGATGAGCTCTGAGAGTAGCAATATTCAGCCTACACTGATGAGATTCAGAACAGACACGACATTGTATTGTGAACACTCTGATTTTCCTCGACTGAGCTTCTAATCAGTGACTATTTCTGCTTTTAACACATTCTTTGAGTGCGTTGCATCTGCCAGAAAGCACAAAGAGAGGTGATTGTAAAGGTGCTAGTTTTGGTCCGTGTCACCAACTTCTTCCTGCGTATCGAGAATATGGTGACTTTAGTGACCTGGCTACACCTGAATAACTGAACCAAATTTTTGACTAAATTAAATTCAGGACTGTGCAGCTGCATAAAAGCTGCGTAGGTGGAAATTTGTGAGATTTCTCTTCAGCAGTTTTCTGATAGTTGTGCTCGTCTTGAGTTTGGCAGAAGATGTGTGGCCAGTCAAATGAAAGACATAACTATTTTATAAATGCACAGTGCATTGAACTGTTAAGACCTCTCTCTCAAAATGTTTTGGAGGCAAGAGGTGAGTTTGATTTATAGTAGTGGTAAAGCAAGACATTAGGGGTTAAGGCTGCAGTTGTAATACCGATGCTTAATTTGAATAATTGAGTGAATGACTGATCATGCTTAGGAGCCAGACTGCTTGGCATAAGGACACTATAAATCAATGGTGTAATCAAAACAAATGGGTGAAGTCATCATGTCACAGCTCGAGCCAACATAAAATTAAATAAAATTTACGTATTTACTAAACTTCATTTAACCATACAGATCAATCGGCAACGATGCCACAATACTTTCCTTTTAGTCTATTTTGGAAATCAGGTGAGACAGGATTTGCAGAATGAAGAAAGAACCTTGGAAGCTAAAAATGTGTCTGTGCCCCCCATTTAAGTCAGACACTTCTCAGCATTGAAGGGAAAAGCTTTTACGTCTTCTTTTCCTTTGCAACAGTTTGTACAGTAGCTTGCTTGAGGCCAGCTGCTGCATTCAGGAATGCACAGAATGCCACTTTTCATGTAACTGAGGTCTGAACACTGGCAATTTATTCCCAAAATATGTGCTATTTGGAGGAAATGTTAGTTAGTTAGAGTTCCCCTCTATGACACACAATCTACGTTTTATACAGAAGGAAAGACTGCTCATCTACAGACAGACTAACGGCAATTATTCCTGTCGACATAAAAAAAACTACACATGAACACACCATGCTGGTTACCTGCACAACAGGCTGCTGTCACTGGTCAGGCTAAAGGGACACAGAAATGAAGGCAAAATACAGAATGAAATAAAATATTTAAAAGAAACACAAAACTTGAAAAGTGAAGGACACAGACTTTCTTCACTCTCAGAGTTCTAACTCTGTTGAAAGAGCATTTTGGGAAATATATTGTTTTACTTTGGTTCTGAGATGAAAAAAACAACAGCTAAGGGGAGTGATTGTGCATCTTTTCTCAAGACGAGTGTCTCAGATTCAATGGAACACACTTTTGATTTACCCTTAGCCACAGTATGCATTTGTTAGCACGATAATCAGTCTGACTGCAAGCGTTCCAGGCTGTAAGTTAGTTGGTCCTGCTCAGCTCAGAGGTCACCAGAAATCTTGTAGTAACAGAGAAAAAATCTTCTTCAGAGGAAGAAACTGCCAAGACTGTCTCCACGAAAGAAAATAAAACCTACCTGATTTAAATATGGCTCACATCACATCCAAAGTAACCATTTTGTGCAGCGATACACTGCTCCCAGCTCTCCTGCCACATTTGAAACTCTCTCTGGAAGTTAAGATAACTTGCAGCTGTGCATTTGCAAATTCACTATGGACCTTAAAATTAGGCTGAGAGGAAACTTCAAATTCTGCATCAAACTGACCTAACTGGCCTGTTCAGGATCAGCACAAATGAGTTTTAGTCTTTTTATTGGCACAGTCTCGGAACTTTTTGTTCACATCCCATAAAATGTACACTTCAGCAGCTAGGTTGTAAAAAAAAAGGAAAGCATTAATTGGTATATAAAAACTATCTAGAATGACTTTCTGCTCAGCTCTGTAGGCCCTGTGTTCATCTGCATCCTCAGTCATACAGATCACTACTTCCTCTAGGACACATTCAAGCGTCTTCAACACTTGCCTGGAATACTTCTGAAGTGGTCTGAAGAATCTGACTTTAGTCAGTCTTGAATGGCGCTTGCCTGCTGCTACACTTGGCTTTTTTTTCACTATCTGAATGATTGAATACAGTATACAGCGGCTAAGTAATAAAATACCTAGAACGCTATTAACCACTGCATGACCAAGGTGAAGTGCTTTCTCTCCATGCTTTACATAGAATAGAATGAATAAAACTGCATCTGGCAACTATGTTACTGATGTAGATCAGTGTGTGGATAAACTGCAGCTTGTCAAAAAATAGTTTCCGTACTCAACTCCACATAAATTATCATTTTTACATTTCAGCTTAATGCCATATCACTTTTGGCATTTAACACTGGGTCTTAACTCAGCACAACAAATGTCTGACACAAAGACAGTTATTATTAATCAATGGAATTTGTGCTGTGAAAAACTAAATCAGTTAAATAAATAAATAGCCTGTCAGCTTAAGGCCAATTAATGCTAATTAATGTAAATGATGATGCCTCATATGTACTGTATGTCAGTACGTCTGAATGCACTGAAAAAACACGTTATTAAGCATTCATGTGGTTCAGAACACTGTGCTCTGTGTATGTGGGTGTTTTTTCAGTGTAATTAAATACATTTAAGCAGCCTATGTTCACACTGTACTTTGTTTCTAATGACCTCCTGTACATGTGAATGTCCTGGATGTGCAAATAGCACACAGTGGATGATGCATAGTATTTATCACACGATTGCGTTTGTCTCTATTTGTGTGTGTAGCTAAATTGAGCTGAGCTGAGCTGTCGTCACTGTAAATAGGAGTGTGTGTGTGTGTGTGTGTGTGTGTGTGTGTGTGTGTGTGTACATATATATATATTTATTTATGGCATGCCGTTTAGGAAATTATATATATATATGTGTGTGTGTGTGTGTGTGTGTGTGTGTGTAACAGTCTGAATATATAGAATGAAACTCTGAATATATGGAATGAAANATATATATATATATATATATATATGGGAGCATGAGTGTGTCAGAGACAGAGAAAGACAACTCACCAGCAGGGAAGTAGAGCGGGAGGTTCTGCAGATACAGCTCCTTATCCGTCGGCAAGAACACACAGAAGATGACTCTGTCCAGCTGACACACACACACACAAATGACCTTTATTACAAGCATATGCAATAACTGTGAATTCATCAGTTGCAGGGGGGAACAATGTAGAAGTGTGTCCCACTGTGCAACAGCAATATCAGAAGAATGCAGCTAATGCATCAGTCCATTACTCCGCTATTAGCTCCCTATTATGATCATGCCACGACAAAGCGCTTATTACACTGCCTGCTGGGGACAGCGAGCTGGAAATACGCAGAAAGAGAAACAGTTTGTGTGAGAAAGAACGAGAGAGAAAGAAAGGGGTAAGAGATGGTTTATAGGTGTTTCTGTATGTGTGTGTGTGTGTGTGTGTGTGTGTGTGGATGTCTACATAAACGAGAAAAACAACTTTTTGTGTTTTTGTGCATGCCCCTGAGTGTTACACAGAGTGTGTGAATTTGGTGCGAGGCCTTCAGTTTCTTTCATTAATGTGTGTGAAACAGTATTCGACTCAATCTGGCACAAAATTCTGTCGACCACCATTATCATCACCATCATCACGCACACAGCCATTAAGACACTGGCCAAGAGAGTGCAGCTATTGTACAACAATAAAGAATCTTTATGCTCTGTGTTGTTTAGATCCTGTCTCTGCAGTCTATAATATTTATATGATGTTCTGTGTATCTGGACATTCAGCACAGTGCACAGCTCCAGATATAGCCTGATGATTAAAGTTACTGTAGCTACAGTAAAAAGATGCTTTGAGGGATATAAGCTCCAGTGTGCTCTGAATCTGACAAACATTACTACCACTCTAATGTCTCTACAAAGGGTTTGATTTCTCAGTTTTGGGCAAAACAGTGCAATTTATAGCCAGGCTGCTTCTACCACTTTCTGCCTGGTGTGGGAGTTTAAGTCTCATTGTTTTCAAGAACAGATCTTTCAACAGCCTGCTAGCCTGCAGCCCGTGTTTTTCAGTCCCTGTTTGCTGCACAATTACCATCACTCACCAGGATTTGCATGCAGGCTAACAGGGAAGACATGGAAATGTGTGGTATGCAACTACAACCCCAAGGCTAAGAATCAAAATCTATAACCTCGACACTAAGGTGCCTGCACTCGCGCCACAAAACCGGAGCAGTGGGGAACTAATTTTGACACCAGTGCAACACAGAGCCTGGAGAAGCTAAAGCTATCAATGAAATCAAATTAACGTAATGGCTTTCTGAAGATTGCTCGTCTTTAATAGAAACACATTACACACGCATTTGTTACTCACTGACCTGTTTTGGTAAATACACTGGTACTGGTGGACCGTTTACACTTTAGGAGCCACATGAACTCGCATAGCCTTTTGTGAATTTAAAAAAATAACTAATTTTAAAACATGTGATAGTAGATGGTTAATTTCCCAGTTTTCTCGAAGTATTTTTGGGACTCCTTCCCAAGATCCGTTTTAACATCCATCTGATGATTTGCTAAACTTTGTCCGAAAACAGTGATTGTCCAATTATGGCTTAATATCTTGGCAGATTTGAAAATCATATCTCTTAAAGAAAAAGAAAAAAATAAGAAAGAAAAAAAAGAGGCAAAATTACACAGTTTAGCAGAGTCAGAAACTGTAAAAACAGAAAGAATCGTCTGAAATTCAGTTTTCTTACAGTTACTTAACTAATCCTGTGTGACTTGTGATTCTATCATGAATTTTGAAATTAACAAAACATAAGCTTAAAATTGGGATAATTCATGAGAATCCCTTTATTCTAAATGTCTCATTTAGCTAAAGAAACAACAACCCAACATTAACCAGATCCTGCAACAAAAACAGGAAATGCTGTGCTAATTGTTGCAACCATGAAGCCATCAGTTACTCAGCTGTTACTAAGAGTAATATGACAAAAACATTCAGGGTCTTACAAGTATGGAAACAAAAAACAGTAAAATACATGGATCTGTTTCTCTTTCTTTGTTGTTGTCTTGGTAACACCTGTGGGCAGTTGGACTTTTTCTTCATTTATTCAAATAAAACAAGTTGAACTTCCACTTTCTTTTTTAATTTAATTTAATGTTTTTTTTTTTTTATTATAGATTTCTAGATATTTCTGGTCGTACTGTTTCCATAGAGGCGCACACAGGACTTCATATAGCACAATGTATTTTTTTTAACCTGCTCAACAACTACAAACTTCAGAGCACAAGTGTGAGGAATGGACTGTTTGTACTTTATATCATAACCTGGATACTTCAGCTGAGGCTGAGGGTTAGCACATCTTTAGCTAATAGTTCAATGTTACCGTTACTGTTAGAATCTGGATGCTTTCAGAGTTTAGGCTAACATTAACGGTTCTGAGGGCTGTACAATGAAGCAAGTTTGACATAGCCAGGACTCTTTATTTGAGTCGAAGAGACAAAAACTGAAGCCCAAACAAAAGATAACAAGTATCACAAAGGTGGTTATCAGCTTTCTTTGTTAGCTCAGGCTTTCTGCTACAAACTCTGTGCGCGTTCATTTAAAAGGGGGAGTTTAACATATCATGTAACTTTTCTTCCACACATTCAATATTCAACAGGTTTTCAGGACGGAGAACAACAAGGAATATAAACATTTTTGACAGCAAAAAGCACTGCGACTGCAAATGATGCAACACAGGAACGCTGGTAGAAAACTGTTAAACATATGTAACATATTTATTTTACCGATAAATGCAGCTGCTTTTTGCCAACTGACATTAAAGTTAAACTTTAAACTTCATATGTTTAGACATGATATTGTCCTGAAGGGAATTTCTGTCCAACACTGCCCCATAATGCAGGATATCACTTTAGTTTGTGCCCAAATCAAAGTAAAATGAATCTTACTGACTGAAAATTCTCTGTAATAAATACCAGTAGAATAATCCATTTTCTCATCTGTTTTCTATCAGCTGCAGTACCAGCTGTGTAAACGGACCTGACAGCAAATCAGACCCAAACATAAAAACATATTTATGTGATTTCTGCATCACCAACTAAATACACATCGGGTTCCCATGACAACGCAATGTACACCGGACGTCACTGTAACTACACGGCTTCACACAGAATCTGCATCGCTCATAAAGAATCATCAGGAAACGATTTGATTAAAGGCACACCCTTCTTCCAGTTGATTTAAATCCTAAACTCTGAACATAACCTGCTCCCGCTCCCTGCTCCTGAGTTGCCATGGAGATCTATCCAGGTAAAAAGGGAGCCACCTTCATGACACTGAAAACTCTGACTTTAGGCTCCAGATACCTCGCTAACCCACTTATCTTGCTTTGTAGTACAGCCCTCTGCTCTGTCTTGTCTTTGCAGAAGTTTAGACTCCAGCAACCCCAGATTCAAGAATTATTGTTCATCTTCATACAGCATCTACTGAGAGAATGAAAAGCCATAGCAAGAGTAAGTGAGGGGGCTGGGCCTCAGAACAGCCATGAAATGGACAGTTTTGTTCAAACTTTCTGTGATTCTTATTTGTAAAAAGAAAAAGCTATGAAACTTATGAGCTGCCTTGGGCGTTACTTTCTTGTAACAGTTTTGTTGGTGATTCACTGATAAATAATTCATTTTTTTTATTACATCTGATGCAGAGTGTTGGAAAATTGCCCCGTGTCTTGAGTCCATTTTGTGTCTCACTGTGTCTGCAATTTTCACATTACAGCACTCCAAGCCAGAGCAAGCCCAACAAAACACACCGTAAAAAAAAAAAAAGTAAGATGGAGGACGTTCAATTAAAGAACAAACCTAATTTCCTCTGGTGAACAGTCTTACTTTATATGTATGCAAATAAACGCAGTCTCATTATCTCAATTGTTTACAATAAAATTCTTTCCCTTTAAAGCACACAGTGGAACTACTTGTGGGCAGAATGTAAGTAAGTACCTTGTTGATTTGGCTCTCTGGTCTTATTTACAGACATTTAAGGCTTGTTGACTGTCGTCCTTTGTGGCGAGACGTGTAATGTTTCGTGTTCATTTGCTGCGAGCGGAGCGGCTGACGGCATCAGTCGACTGGTATTGCTGCAGAGACTCCTGAGATGCCAGTGCTAACAATAACATCGTCAATACCCACTCTGGGAGGTGAAACAGCATGGTGGTAACAGTGAGGGAGAAGGATTGAAAAGAGGAGTGGGAGGAGACCAAAGGAGTGAAGGAGGAAGAGGGGAGGAGAGTTTAGAGCATGTAAATGACTGATTGGAAAGTTTCCGCTTTGTTCCAATCTCCCATCACCCTGTTCTCTCCCTCCGTCCCTCCCCTCCAGTCATCTATTCCATCATTTTGTCTGTTCTCCGCTTGTGTTTCTCCAGAGAGAAAGTGTGTGTGTGTGTCTGTGCGTGTGTGTACGTGTGTGTGTTTGTGTTAAGTCGGGTTTAGTCCCGCAAGGAGCCAATTAAAACGCAGACTTGGCCATGAGCATGAGAGCCAGAACTTGGGAGTGTGTGTTTAAATTTATGTTTGTGTGCGTTGTCATTGTGTGTGTATGTGTTTTCTCAGCGCACTCGTCTCCTCGCTCTCACCAGAAAACAAAAACAACAGCTGTGAAAGAAATAATACCTGGAGGAAATGGTAGGGAAAAATTGCCAATCATGCAGACACAAACACACACACACATATACAGTACGTACATACCCACCTTGTCGTGATGTGCATCGAGATACTCCCTCACAGTTGCTAGCGCCTCGTGCACAGCCTGCTCAGGTGGATATCCTACACCAACAAACAAGCACACACACACACACACACAACATCAAGAATATGCACACACTTCACAAGAACAGGTGCAATGACAGATCTGTGTGTTTGCGTTAGGTTGTCGTCCGCTGTGTTTTTTTTTCCCAGACAGGTATCTGCTCTTCTTTCCACTATTCTAACACTCAGTGTTGTGTGTTTTCTCACTTTGTCTCATCCCAACTGGCTTATCCCAGCGAGCTAGACACAACACACTTGTTGGTTGCGAGGAGACAGATGGAGAAAGACTACAGTGCTTCTTCCACATTCATCCAGTAGCCGAGACCTTTCACTGCTGGAAAATTATCCCCACCGCTGGATACAGCCACAAAGGCAATGAGAATTCATCACCTGGCCAAACCGCTCAGCTCCAAACAAACACATACTGTGTGATTATGGAGTAATTATTCCATACATCTGGAGAGGACTCGGCATGTTAACATAGGAGAATACATGAGGGGAGAAACTGGCACTGACACACTGATTGTTTGGGCATCAAAGCAAACAAATGCAGTATTCACACTGCAAATGACGGCCCTGCTATGGTTTGTTATATAATTTTTTTTTTTTTACTACTTGATGGGGAAAGTTTGCCTTTCAATGACTTACAATTAAGGTAAGTAGTCTTAGTTTATCTAATGACTACTTACACAGGTATTTTCCCCTCATGTGCCTATTCTCAGCCCTCTGTGGCACAAGACTCTCTCTTTAAGCAGAATAATCAGCCCTGCTTCATAACTATTAGAGCACATTCATAACTACGGTATACTGAAAAATGCCAATAGGCTGTATTAAAGGAAAGGATGTAACCACTGAGATGTCACCCATTGGTTTGTGGACAATAGTTTTGAAGCCTTGAGTTTAGGATTTTTGTTGGGGGCATCTTAATTTTTTGCACAGAAGTCAACATATTTAGACAACCCAAGAGCACTGCACACCCAGACAACTTGTCAAACACAAGTTAGCCACATCCTCAAGCATACCCTGCTTTCTTGCCCTATTTTACTCTAAAAGGGTCCATAATTTACAAAAATCCCACCATGCTATGTTAAAGGAGAGTTGAAACCAGCGGTTTATACCATAAACTCATTTGGAAAATGTTTATTGAGGTAATAAATCAAGTGAGAAGTCGGCTCATTTTCTCATAGATTTCTACACTCAAGCCTTCTTTTTCGAGCCGGAGGACTCGCCCTCTGCCAGCCAATGGAAAGAATGCAGGTTTCGGGCACTTAGGCTTTGGCTTCACTTTTCAGACTCAGGGGTTACATCCACCTTATATGTACAGTCTATGGCTAACACTTGATGAAACAGAAGAACATTCACTGTTATCATATTTCATTTGTTCACACTTGACAATGAAAATATGAAGATGTTTTCCACTGCAGGAATTAACAGGGCACTTAAAGGCCCACAACTTTGTACGTTCCATTAGACTTATTCAAGCCACCCGGTAAAAACTACTGGATTTTTTTTGTATATTGCAGTTTATAAGACAGAAAAACTAAATATCCTATTGTCAGCTTCATCCAATATCATGCAGCCCTTTGAACATTTTTTTATTTCTGCGTTTAGGCAACTCAGATGTCTTGGTTAACGTTACAGAAAGATCATGGTTGTGGTTAAATACTAAAAAAACTGAATGACTTGAGGCACAGCAAGGGACATGTTTCTTGTTCAGTTATTTAATCAAAACCACAATCTACCCACAGCCTTCACTGAAGGGTTTATAGAAACTGATACCCATAGATGTGAACTGTGGTCTCGGGGGTCAAAATCCTGCACTTTGTACACCCATTATCCATCCCAACCACCTACTTCAACTCCTGTGTGGTCAAAAACAACTGAAATTCCCTGGAGTGGATAAAAATGTTGCTAATGGATATAATCAAGGCAGCAATTATGTTTCCTCCAAAATGTCCTTGCTAAGGTCTAATCAGCCACAATGACTGAAAACACCAGTGGGGAGTAAAGAGCAGCAGCAATGTTGCTATGTTGCCCCACCATATATGTCTCAGGTATACATCTTCTGTAGCATTGTTCAAAAACTACCACTGTGACTGGCTGGCAGTCATGTTGGCATTACCCCTACATCATTTTTCAACCTCATCACATTACAAAGAGGGTGGAACAGTGATGAGTAGCAGCTTCATCCTTTAACTGCAGCTAAGTCACAGCTTTAAATGAAAAACCAAAGAAAAATCCTTTTCCTTTGCTCTTTAGAAATGAAACAAGATTATAAAAAAAAGAAGCTGTTGGTGTTTTTTTTTTGTTTCAAACATTTTCTCTTTGAACGTACTCTGCAAGTATTCTTCATAAGACAATGAGCAAAGTAGATTTGCTTTCTTTCTTTCTTTCTTTCTACTCAACTGTAGCTGTCTGTAGAGGCAGAAAGCTGCTTATATCTCGTAAAATTATGTAACCTTTTGTTGCTCTCCAAACACCCTGACCTACAAAACACTCAGGAGGAAAGAGATAGGAAGATGATGAGAAACGGGTGCAACCAAGAGGAAGACACAAATAACAAACGGAGTCAATCGGGACTTTGGCCTTTTCCTCTTTCTAGCAATGGGAGAGAAGTGTTGACAAGAGGCCTTCACACCAGAGCCACCCCGGGGGTGTGTTTAAGCACTATCCTTAACTCTCTCTCCTGCTAGTGTAAAGGGGATTACAGGCAATCTGACACAATCTCCGGCCTAATCTATCTTAATCTGCCGGTCATAATCCAAGGCGTTAATCTGAGAACCACCTCTGGGCTGGAGGAGATAATGTGACAAGTGGCACCGGGTGGCTCAGCACTCTGGTTTGAACAGACAGACTGGAAGCAAGCATGCGATAGAGAGCACATTCAGTCTGTTAAACATATGGACACAGGCACACACAGATTACTGTTGCTGTCAAGTATACTATGAAAATTGATAACTCTCACACACGCGACTCAGTGGATGAACATGTCATGCATTTGCTCTGCTTTGAGGCAGAGACACATAAACACAGACACTAACCGTAGATTCCAGTGGAGATGCAAGGGAAAGCCTGCAGAGAAAGGATGACAAACATAGTGGTTACAGTCTGCTGTTGATCACATAAGAGCATACTTTCATCACACACGCATCTGCACATCTAACTCTGCGAGGACACTCACCCGGTTTGAATGATTGGGGAAAATTATCCAACTACAATTTATCTGGAAGGCTTTGCTATGTGATATTCAAAATTATTTTCGAGCGTCAAGCTTCAGTTTAATATTCACTGTGTAATAGATTTAAAAAATGTGATGGAGCATTGCCACATGAGATACCATCAAAAGCGCGACAGTTACTGACGAGGAGAGCAGCATAAATTTGTAAAACCACTGACACTACAGCTTAAACCCTGGCTCAGACGTGCTGCATAATGTATGTCCTTAATTGCAAACCTCTGCTTTTCCCTAATTGCATTGTTTCAAATTGTGATTTTGAAGTGGTTTTGTTGTTCAGCCCTCACAGACACGACCATAATACATTCCCTTGTTCCTTTCCCTCAACCGTAGCTCAAACCTGAAGTTAACCTTAGCTGTAAATCCAGCACCTTTGAGAGCACGTCAGAAAGTTAGGATTTTAACTTTCCTCAAACAAACTCACTCTCAATGTCTAAAACCCAAACTGGTTCTCACACAGACAGTCATATACAAGTACACACACACACACGCACACACACACACACACACACACACACACACACACACACACACCACAGAAATCACTCTCTCAGCTGGATCTCTATGGAGTCCATTCTGATTGTTTTTTATGGCAGCCTTTTTTCACCCTCTGACTTCCACATCTATTTAAAGTTGTTGATCAGGCACAGAAACACTTCCTTTGTCATCCACAGAAGAGCAAGCAGCGCTAACCAGACGTAACTATAACAATCATGAAAGTTGTATGGAGACCGTCACTGTGGAAGATATCTTTCATTTATTTTTTTTATGAGATTAAAGTTAGAATCTATAACACTTTAATGTAACTGATGTAGTAACAAGTGTGTTTCACTAAAACGGGTCACAGAGGACTGAAGATGATGCATACATCTGAAGAACAACTTGGGTGTAATAAAGTCAAACAAACTGTGGGCTGCGAAGATGAATGGGTCCTGTTGGTTTAATAAAGATAATTGACATTTTTCGTCATGCTGTGAGCGACCAAGGTACTTGTCCAAACAACAAGACAAGCAGGTAAAAGAAAGGTATAGGAACACAGATAAATCCAGCTGTTTCCACTGGCAACACGTACAAGGAGTTCTAATTCTGACATCTGAAACTCTTTGTCTAACAACTCACGGTGGCTTTCTCACAGTAAAGGTTACTCATGTTCTAGCAGTTGAATGCGTTTAAAAAGACAGTTGTTGTTTTTTCTTTCTTCAGACTGTTATCTCAGAGGTGAAGATGTGGACCACGAAGCACAACATCCTCACTTTGAGTTCTTTGATTTCATCTCTCTCACCTGTCATCTCTCTACTCTTGCTATATAAAACAGATCTTTACAGTCCTTGCCTGCCTTTGTGTACGTTAAAAGCACTGCTGATCCCTCAAATTGTTCTTCCTGTTCATTCTGTCTGCAAAGAGATGGATGATTTAAGCAATTTCATTATTTCCAGGTCACACAAACCTCATGTGAGGGTTCGGCCCTTTTTAGCACCAAATTTCCTCTTTTTTTCTTTTCTTTCTTTTTACAACCCCCCAATTTCACCTCAGCAAGGAACCAGTCATGAAACACAAAGAGATAACTTCATACTAAAAGATTGTAAATTTTTTTTAACCCAGTCTATTAATAGCTTCAGCTGAACTTTAGAGATCATCTTTGTGCAGAATAAGGACAGTGGATTTTGTTCCAAATATCACGAACATTGCAGCTGATTTGGCAACTATTGCTTTACAACCAGTGTGAACAGCAGGAACGACTACAAAAGACTAACAATTTTTTCAACGTACACATGAGTGTTGGAGTGTTGTTTTAGATTTCAAAAGAATGTGAACCTGTTTTTTAGTCTGAAGCAGCAGCAGCAGCAGCTGAAGGTACCAGATGTGCTTGGCCTGCGTGATGCTGTGGTCTCTAACAAGTCACCTTTGGTTACCATGAGAGGCAAACACCGGTAGAGGCCTACATACATACAAACTGTCCAACTCCTTCCTATGTGTGCCAGCAGAGCCAGCTGATATTACAATCTAAACTAACGTCAGTAACGTGGTTTAGTAGAAAAACAGTGTTAGAAAACTGTATTGGGAGACACCTGGCATGATATTCCAGGGCTGGACACTTAAATTAGGTTTTCTCTGTCAAGACAGGACAAAGCTTTGCAGCACTTTTGCCTCATTGAACTGGACTGAAACAGTGAAATTGTTGTTGTAAAATGACAGTAATAATAATAATAATAAATACAATGGTTCTCATGTAAAAATTCTGTCTAGATTAAACATATCAAACATATACATACATGTATGAATATATGAACAGTGAACCTGAAATAATTACATGTAAAATTGCACATTTACATTTTATCTTGATCTCTTACACGACACAAATAATTGCACAATCAAATTTACTCAATTCAACAGTAGCCTGCAGCGTAAACACAGTATCCGTATACTTTCTGATATTCAGCCAGTCAAAATTTGTGACTTTATCTGTAAATGCAGGATCTTGAGCCAATCTGGTGCTTACATCGGGAATGTTCTGTTTGTATTATCAGTAAGGTATTGGGGCTGTCAAACATCACAACACAACAGCACTGCTGCGCTAAGAAAATCCTATATTTCCGCTGCCTTGTGCAGCACTACGATGCTTTGTCACTGTGTTGAGCAGTCAAAGCCTAATTAGTTTAACTTTGATCACTGTATGTTGTGAGCCCAATATAAAGAAGGCATCCAGCCAGGAACGTGAGGCAAAGTGGAAGAAAGGCTGATATTGCATGTGTCTTGATTCTCAGAGTTATACAACACAAATTAGTGTTTTTATCAGGAAGTCAGGGTGAAAGCCCAATCTGTGTTTCACAGTCAGGTGGCAATATGTGTGAACAAAGCTGAGATTCCCCCAAAATAACTCTGCACACCTTAAAGTTAAAGGCCCCTATCTCAGAAAATGAAGTAGAGAGGTATACTGGTAGATTAAATGCTGAATGGTTCAGTCATGTAGTCCTGCTAAAAGGGTTTAAAAATTTCACCTACCGGTATTCACCACCAACTCCTTCAAACGGTGCTCTGAACACCGTGGTGAGCACTGTGCATATCACGTTGTATCTTAAAGTCTCATAAGACACCCCTGATAGGTATGTAGGAGAGGCAACAGGGAAGTAGCAGCTTCTATCGAGAAGGTTAAATTACAAAGAGTAACATTTAAGTACGTTTGCATTGTTTCCTGTAAGTTTCCTGCCAGTGACCACTGTAGATCCTTCAGAACTGGCTCAGTAAAGGCAGACTAAACCACAGACTGCATACAGTCAATGGACCACACCAATAATAATGGAAACAGAGAGCCCATTGTAGAATATATAGTTACCACACTCACTGGCTTAATAGTAGCAAAATAGGGATTTACATGATAAAAACCCAAAGGATTAAGATTCATGTTTGGCAAGTTTGTGCACCACCGCTGCTCTTGTTTGAGTCAAGCAACCAGTAAACTTAAAATCTGGCAGATTCTCAAACTGCTGTCAAATACGGCAGTATGAGCAGATGCCAGGATGCTCCCTGTGTCTCCAGATCTGTTCGTTTAACCTGACCGCAGCGCTTGAAGCTTGAAATCGAGGGCAGATGTTACTCACAAGTTTCTCGATACCAAAGACGAACATACAACTTGAAATTTTTGGGCAGAAGCTGCAATAAATGCTGTAACTTTTTGTACGTGTAAAAAAAAAAAAAAAAAAAAAAAGGTTTGACTGATCCATTTTTACGTCTGTTTCAAATTCTTGTCTTGAGAAGTGAAACTATAAATGCACTGCATTGCACCTGTCCTCTTCGACTGCCCCTCCGACTTTATTTTCATGTTGCTGGGGTGTTTTTTTTCTGACTTTGACACTTCGTTCTCTGTGAAACCTCCTGCCTGGTGTGTTTCATAAAACCTTCTTACAACTCGACACTCCTACCTCTTTTTAGCCTTCCTCCATCAATCTCAGCTTGAATGTAGTTTTCTTTGAAAAAGCCATGTGTGATCAATCTTCTCCCTTTAGCTCAGGTTTCTTTTTTAGCTATAGAATCTTGTCACAGTCAGGACTGCACTACTTCTTCCGTTTTCTTCTTTCCTCTTATCCATGCCTCTTTTCTCTCTTTTTCTTTGTTGCTCACCTTTTCCTTTTTGTCTGTTACAGTCTTCAGTGATTCTGTCTTTATCTTCTCTTTTTACCCTGACCTCTTAAATTGCTGTACTCTTTTGTCCCCTTCCTTCCTTCTTTCCTCTCTCCTCTCCCTCCCTGTTTGTCCCCCGCTGCCATTATTCCTTCAGATTTATCTCGTCCCTCCGTTCTCACCACGGAACGTGCAGCGTTTTCAGTTGCAGTTTTCAGGCTGTTCATGTAGCAGGACCTGAGTGCTTTCCTCTCCGTCTCTCCAACTCCTCCCTGTGCAATCGGTCCCACCGTGTGAATGACATCTGCAGAGATACAAAGAGAGACAAGAAAAAGCAATCAGTTACACAGTGTGAGAAGTATGAAGCTACAGTAAAATATAACTGAAATACAACAATCCCCCTGGAACAATTCTCATGACATTAAACTTTACTGTTGACGTACAAAATACTTATAAATATGTTTTAAATCCCCTCACAGAAGTTCTGCAGTCGCTTCACTTATCTCATCACAAACAAAGCGAGTGTCATCCTGGAGATCAGCTGAATGTAAGAGCAGGGCTGCCACTAGCAACTATCTCACCGATTAGTTTCCCCCCCAAAAAAAAAAAAGCGATATCGTTTAAGTTCATTTTATTTTGAGAAATTGTATGTCAACACATGATTTATCACAGTAGGAAATGTAAACAAAGCTTTACATATTCAAGTGCAAAACTTTAATTTGAACTGGCAACTCCAATTTGACAAAAATATTTTAAAAGAGGACTCATTATTAAAGTCAGTAGAGCAAGTCTAAAAGAAAACCAAGTTTCGATTAAATCCCTCAATAAGCAAGTTTATATTTACATCGACAGAGCAGGGAAAGCAGCTCTGTTTTTCCTTATTGTGTAACTGTTCTCTGACTTTAATAGTCACTTCAAATTCTATGAAAACGTAGATAAATTCACAGCACAGCTGTTGTCAGGACTTCAGCAGTTCACAGCAGCAGCTTGGAAGCGACTGCTGGTCAACATGTAGCGTTAACGGACCACATTTCAGTCTCTATGTCACACTCGTTCTGCAGCAGAAACAGATATGTACACGAGAACAGCTTTATTGTGAATTTGGCTGTACTAAAATACATGACATGCAAGTTCAAAAGCAAGAGAGAAGCAAACCAAACTGTTCTGCTACTGGGATAATTTCAAATACTACCATACTTTTGAAGCCTTTTACACTGTAAACTGTAACACTGGCTACAGTGGACCAATGCTGGAGTCAAAATTACACATATTGAGGAAAAGAAAATATTAAAAAACAAACAAAAAAAAAACATTTGCTGGTTAAAAATATTACAGCTGATGGATGTTCAGCATCGATGTCATTGATTATACTGACTAATTGTGGCCACTCTGTTAAAGAGCATTCCCCACACATTCGATCCTCTCAAAGCCTCACCAGAGCACAAAGTTATCCCATTCACCACCTCTAAAACATTTAGTTTTTTTCATGCTTGATTACGAATGCAATAAGTTGATTTCAGAGTGTAGCTGGAGTCTTGGCTGAAACAGATGCAGACGTGTGAAAAATCTTTTTGTTTTAATGGGTTCATGTCACATCGGGGTAATCATAAACAACATTCACGTCAGCATCCAAGTCATAAAAAGGGAGAAGTTGGAATTTTCTCAACGGTCATATATATCTAGCAAACAGCAAACATTAAACAAAGTCCCTTTTTAAATGTTGTAAAACTCAAATTTAGTGGATGATATGTTATATTGCTACGACACAATATTTTAAACAATCACATCCCTAATTCTGCAGTTGTCAGGTC